GCGTTTTGCAAATCTTCCCACATCGTGACGTAGGTATGTGGGGGCGTGTTAGAACGAGCCGTTTTAGGTAGGTGTGGCTGACTCTTAAATTTTATAAAGAATATCTCTTTGGATTTGAGACTTTAGTCTTTGCAACTTTACAGATCTTCTTTATGCACCAAGAGCTTGTAACACTCCAAAGAGAAAGGAAAAATTTTAATCGCATCATATGACCCCTTTAACATTGAGTCTACTTCAGTACTTAAGTCTGAAAAAGCATGCAAAGTTCCATCCCGTTTGAGCAAAAGGTGGAGCTATAACAGAAAGAAAAAAAACATGCAAATACATGCAGCTTCATTACATACTGATGTAATTATTGTGCATGCATTGGTCTGAGCATATATTGGTCAAATTAAACAGTTAATTTTTTAAGTTTATGGATTACAGGGTAATTGTGTTTCCACCCTAATAATTCGTGTTTGTAGCTACAATAGCCTATCGCAATTGAGCTGATTTGCATACAGGTAAACACTAAGGGAGAAACAGCAAGGAGAAGTGTTAAATCAAGCACTTCCACAGGAACGAAATCAGCGTGTTCTCATAATATTCCGTTCAAATTTGTGTAAAAAAACACCTTCAGTGACCTAATCTTCAGCAATGGGGGATAGGCTTGAGAGAAGTGGCCTAGTATTTTGCTTCCCCACAAAAAGTACTCTGTACACAAACTACTTCCAGCGTAATTGGAGTAATCTGCCTTTTTGCAGTGATGAACAAATTTCTTACCACAGTGCACAACTTAAGTGCATTCAAATGTTTATTATTCAAAACGTAGGCTAAAAATAAAGAAATTCAGACGACATTAAAAAGCAACTGCGCAATATCATTTACAAAGCATCAGTGAAGGTCTTCGGTTGTGTCTCAAAACCAGATCAGCTCCCTACCTAGACAACATTCAGATTTGTTGCCTATATGATCATTTCAAATGTTGCTTGCGCCCGTGACGCCCAAAATGCAGTCTAGACGGGCAGCTCGCTAAGATTTGAGACACAACGAGAAAGCAACGTTTACTGTACCAGTTTGTGGATGCTCGCGGGTTGAGGATGTCTTCTTTAGCGGTCAGCAGAGAGAGGTTGTACGCGTCCAAGTTAATCGCTCTCATCCTGATGCTGGAGTGTTTCTCTGTACTCCACAAGACCAGCGCACTTCAACACACGCTTTGTGTTCCTAGTAAACAAGCAGGTCCGTTATCCAAAGGTGCATTCAGGGACGTAAGTTTTGCAGGCGATGTGTAACTTATATATGTGAAGAGCAGTTGGAGTTGGAGGTGGAGGCGAACACTACTTATGCGCTGCATCAGTGCTGCTGGAAAACTTCATGAACAGGAATCTCTCCAAAAGCTCCACCCCCTGCTCTGAGAAGAAGAAAAAAACACCGCTGCTGTTGCACAATTTCAGTTTATCTCGGTTGCTGCTACATGAATTACTGACCGGTCACATAAAACAATTTGGAGGCAATGTAATTTAATCCAGTTTTTATATTCTAGATTGTTTGAACACGAGGACGCATTTGAAATGGGTTTATGGGCATTCTTGTTGAGTTAGGTTATATGTCCAGATGCCATTGCAATTTTTATGCTATCTTGGATTTTAGTGTATAGGCCTACTATTTTTTAGAGGTTTTCGAACTTTTTAAGACCATCCTTTACCTTTTTTGTATAAAGACCCATTTATACTGTTTATAAATAACATTTGCCAAATTAAATAATTGGCCTTATATCCTACATTGAATTTAAAGCAAAACAGTTTAATAAATGTTATCATCTGAAAATTAATTACTGCTGATGAGTTGACAGTATACTGTCAGTGTACATATACCTTTTTTCCCCACAAAACTATTTGTTTTAATTCTCACTGTTACTATGGATGTCAATTAACATTTTTTTTTTAAAAAGCAGAATGCAACAGTAATAATGTCTTTTTTTTTTTTTTTTTAATCACATCACAATCTAATCACAATAAACGTATTTAGTTTAAAATATAAGTTAACAGTAACACTGACAGCCCTAAAATCCTTTTGTTTGTTTTTTCCTCAGAATTTTTTTTGTGGATCCTTTAGTGCCAGGTTGGCAGAAACAAGTTAAAAAATGAAGTTTATTTAAAAAAAAAGTTTGGGAGGAACATGTTCGGGTAATCTAACCCAGTGTTTCCCAACCGGGGTGCCCCGTGCCATCTGTCCAGAGCAGGGGTGCCGTGTAAAAAATCATTTTTTAATATTTTTAAATTGCTAAAATTTTCAAAAAAGCATCTATTATATAATATCAATTTCTGATGTCGCCAATAATTATAGATGCACCGAAATTTCGGCTGCCGAAAATTAGTTCACGGCTCAGGATTCACTTTCACGAGATAGCTAGTTATAATGGTAATTAAATCATGTTTACATATGTATAAAAGCCTACATTAAAATCTGTCATATAAATTGGTCTCTTCATTAGAAATTAGCCTACTGATTGCCACCATTGATGGACAATTTTTTTTTTATAATATTAAAAATATCTGTATGACATTATATTCTGCAGTTCTTCCCTGTTGTACCGAATATCTATACTTTTCAAATTATCATATAGAAGTTAGAAATTCAAATATTGTGACAAAATTAATTTTGTAAGGTACCACAAGTTTGTTAAAATTTCCAAAGGGTGCCGCGACTAAAAAAAGGTTGGGAAACACTGATCTAACCAATCAGCACAAAAGAAAGCCATATACTCTCACCTCCATTAAGTGACCGTTTTCTGGCATCGCTCCGCCAACCCATAGGTATAGTTATATATATAGTATGCATGAAAATGCGTATTTTTCAATTAAAGACAGCTTATAGATTTAATATGGGATGCTTTTGGTGCTTGACACCTTTTTATTGGTCATTTTGTGTTTCAAGAATAAGGTCCAAGGTTAAGATTTATGCTATTAGTTACTTAAATATAAAATGTTTTTCTCTATTTAACAACATGACAATAGTGAAAGACGACTTCCCTTACTGATCACGCCTCTTGCGCGGCGGGATGTTGGACTCATGAAAAATAATCACGTTGTTTGTATTCACCAAAACTGATTTACTGAAGTCAAAACACGGACGGAATTGGCGTCAGCGCGAGCGCCGCTTGCTGTGAGGCGGGAGCAACGAGCCGGCGGAGGATTCCGCAGCCTTCCTCGAACAGTTATGTTCTGATTTACTTAACTTATACTGCGTGAGGGGGCTGTGATTGGATGATGACAGGTATCGGATTCGGTGATCATTCTCAAGTGATCAGCACCGCTGCTGTTGTATCAGTCAGTGGTTAGATCAGCGTAACAGTCAAAAAACGGGACAAGGGAGGTCACGTACGGGACAAATCAATTAAGCCCAAAATACGGACGTCCCGGCTACGGGACGGTTGGCAACCCTACCAACCCAACACTTCTCTCTCGGCTGGTTCCTATCCCAGCCAGGGAAGTCCAGGAGAGTACTTTGGGTTTGGCTCAAATCTCGAGTTTGAAGCCTTCCTCGAGGACAGCAAGCTAAATTTGCTTATTCTTTACCCCTTTCAATTATATGTACATGTGAATTTGTAAAAACTCCTGTTAGTTTAATGCTTTAGTATTTCATTTGTGTTTTTGTTCTTATTTTCTTTCTCCAGGATTCCAAAAGAGACAGAAATCATGGGCACAAAAAGAACATCTATATGTGTCTGTGCAAATTCAGTCAAAAATTTTTAGATCTTTCCACTATTTTATGTCTAATGTTCGAAGCATGGCAGTGAATGAGTGTGAATTTGGTTGAAAGTCCACTGGTCCTGACACGCTATTGAGCTGCCAGTCTCTCTTTGTACAGGCTTCCAGTGAGCAGTCTTTGGAGTGCTTGGCAGCCAGCTGAGAAGCCGTTTACAGTGCATTGATCTCTGGAGGGACCCTTGCCCAAGCAGGGCCGATTTCATGGGAACTGAACTTAATGTAGTCTCCTTTAAACTGGCTTTGTTGTTGTTGAAAATGCAATGGTTAGTATAATGCTACGTATACTACACTGAAAAAAATAATATGCTAGATTTACTTAAACATATAGTTCATAATTTTTGCATCCCTCTTCTTAAGTAAATTTCGCATGGAATTTTAAGCAGTGTTACCTAAAAATCTTTAGTTGGCAATGCTTAAATGTTTGAGTATCCCAGTGAACGGTTTTGTTCAAATGTATTAGCTGGTGTAACACAATATTTTAAGTAGTTTATACTAATACATTTAAGTTATTTCTACAATAAAAGTCTTGTTCACCCTATTATAAATTTTAAGCTCATTTAGATTGATAACTTTAAGTTTTTGTATTTTAAAATACCTACTGCTCAATTACTTAAAAATAGTTATACATTACAATGAGTGGAAGACACAACAGACAACTGGTAAATATTAAATGACTTCTTTATTTTCTTCTTCTTTTTTGTTTTTTACAAATGCAACTTAAACATCTCTTAAAACATTTTCTGCTGTTCAACAATGTACAGATGTATACATGTCTGACTTGTTCAAATTTAGTTGAATGTTAGAATGTTTGAAATAGTGCAGTGTGTGTGTACCTGGTATTCCCTACATCATGAGGACCAAATGTCCCAACAAGAATAGTAATACTAGACATGTTTGACCTTGTGGGGAATTTTTTTTTGGTCCCCATGAGGAAAACAGCTTATAACTCATACTGAAATGACGTTTTTTTTTTAATATGTAAAAATGCTGAAAGTTTTCTGTGACAAGTAGGTTTAGGGGACAGAATATACAATTTGTACAGTATAAAAAACATTATGCCTATAGGAAGTCCCCATAAAACATGGAAACTAGTGTGTGTGTGTGTGTGTTAAGGTGCATGCTGTGTTCTACCATTACACAGGATTTTGATTTGAAAATGACTAAAAATACAGATTACAGAACAACAGTAAACAATCTGTAACAAATAACAGTAAGCATCAACATTCTTTTTTTTATATTTGTGGTGTTTTATGTTTCTGTGTGTTGAGTATGTTGTTTACATAATGTTTGTGGTGTTGTATGCTTGTGTGTTTGAGTGCAGTGAAGTGCTGAGTATGTAATGTGTGGTGTTGTATGCTAGTTGTTGAGTTGTGCAGTGTTCTGTGGCATTAAAATGCATTTGCAGTATTAACAAGGCACTTAACAAGTATTAAAAAAAAAAAATTCAAAATCTTGTTATTCAAAGTTACCCCTTATTTACACTGCACACATCAGCGGCGCGTTATGGCTCAGACAAGGTTTTGTTCCATCCTCCACATGGTGCCAATTCACGCCAGGAGCATTTCAGAAGCGAAGCGACAGGATTCGCGAGACCACGTGATTTGCCTGTCCGTTTTTGTGTGAGTGTGTGTGTGTGTTCTAATATGGATGGTTAAATGTTTGTTTTGTCCGGTTTAATTCTGTTTATTCCACTCTTACAACTCCTGCAATTAAACTCCACGCCTTGTCCTTTTTGGAATTTGTCCTTGTAAAAAGGATTTGTGGTGTCATATAACTGTGTGTGTTTTTCAACTTCGAGGATGAAACTCTCCTCATCAATTTCTGGTCTCCTAGCAAGGATAGTGATATGAAATACGATCGGGAGTCTGCACAGGGTGTTTATTTTGAAATTAACAGGATTTTGTGACTTTTATTTTGCATTTTCTGTGCGGATTGGATGCAGCATCCGTCAAAAATAGACTAGGCACCTATCTTTAGCGAAGTGGCTAAAGATTCTGAAACGTGCTGTGGCACAGCTTGTGTGACACAAGCATTGACTAGAGTGGACGTGATCAGCTCCAGTGGCCGCGTTGCAGACCTGTGCAGTGTAAATCAGGGGTCAGAAGTGTTGCAATCAAGTCAAGCAGGATTTTCTGAAGCCAAGAAGGGCAACACATGCATTGCAACACTGGACAATCCTGACAGAACCTCAACACCTTTCAAGAAAGAAATGCCATCTGGCCATCTATTCCCCTATTTCCAATCAGTGTCCTATAACACAAAACAATAAAATGCATATTGTGCTTTTTTGGTTGTTTGTTCATTAAGGGGGTAAAAACGCAAAAAGACAACAAAATATGTCAGGCTCAACTTTAAAACATGTATAAAGCTCCTGCTGGAGACCAAGCAGTCATTAATCTAAATCATTCAAACAAACTCTGTAGGTTATTAAAAGTTTATTAATTCTGAACGTGTCACGTGTCCATATTGCACCAAAATGCGACACGGCACTCCCTTGGGTCTGCAGCAACACACCCGCCACGCGTGAAGTCGATTGGATGAACGGTTCTCGACATAATAAAAATGCAAACAGACAGACAGACACACAGAGATTCCTGCCTTTATTA